GAAAATGGCATTTCTGTTCCTCCCAACTGAGATTCATTCACTCCCAGGGGAAGCCCCCCCCTCCCTCCCAATCCTCCTCCTATCAAGGGTGTTGCACCTGGAAAGGTAAATGCTGCAGCTTCACTTTGGAGACACACAGGATGTCGCCCAGAGACTTGCGCTGGGTGCCCTTCCATTCCTGCACGTGGGCATTTTGCATTGACCACCGCAGCTGCTCCTTGCCCGGCGCGCCCTGCGTCCAGACCCTCTACAAGGGGAAAGCAAATCTCATCATCCCGGGCATCCGCCCCATCCTTTCCTTCTCCGGACCCCCTGCCCAGGCTGACCGGCAGGCTGGGTGCCTGCGGGTGAAAGAGGCCGCCGAAAAAAACCAGCCGTGCCAGTTTCCACCTCCAGCTGAACTGGAATAGAAGCGCCTCCCCGGGGCATGTCGGGGGCAGCATCCGCTGGCAGGGCTGAGCTGTCAGAAGGCAGCCTGGAAAGGCTGATCGGCTCCTTCGCTCTCTCCTTCAAGCTCTCGTCCTCATCCCAGCAAAATGACTCACGCTGGGAGGCCGCAAGCCATAATAAATGCGGAGGAGGGCTGGAGAAAAGTTTCCCAGGACACCAGGAAAACTGGCTGGAGATTTTTAGGGAAGCCAGACCCCCAGGGGGAGGTCTGCCCATGGAAGGGAGAGACCCACATTTGCCTCTACAGGCCTGGAGATGGTGTTCATCTTTCCCATCAATCAATTCCTTCCTTCCCTCCTTCCCTCATCCCTCCCTCTCTCCTTCGCTTCTATCCTCCTTCTCTCCCTCCTCACCGTTCCTTCCTTCCTTACCTTCCTCCTCACCCTTCCTTCCTTCGTCCCTCCCTCCTTCCTTCCCTTCTATCTTCCCTCCCTCCTCTTTCCTTCCTTCATCCCTCCCTTCTTCCTTCCCTTCTCCTTCCCTCCCTCCTCTTTCCTTCCTTCCTTCCTTCCTTTATCCCACCCTCCCTTCCCTTCCTCCCTCTCTCCCCTTCCTTCCTTCCTCCCTCCCTCTTTTCTTTTCTTCCCTCCCTCCCTCTTTCCCTTCCTTATCTCCCTTCTCACTTCCTCCCTCCCTCTTCTCATTCCTTCCCTCCCTCCCTCCCTCT